AAGTGCCTGGAAAAGGCCAAGTGGCTGCCAACAACAAAGCAAAAAGGATTGCGGTAAACACTTATTATATGAGTTGATATATGGCAAATTAGCAAAGTAGAATTCATTATATGCTTATTTGGATGATTTTGGATGAGTTAGGGTCGAAAATTGACATATGTGCTTATTTCTCTTAATTTATATCCTTAGGCACTTAAAAGTATGTGATATTGGAATGTTAGAAGAAAGAACGAGTCCATTTGCTTGAAAACATAGAAAATAGGCATGGTTTTAGCCATATAGGCCAAATTTGGATAATTTTGGATGAGTTAGGGTCGAAAATTGACATATGTTCTTATTTCTCTTAATTTCTATCCTTAGGCACCTAAAAGCAATTGATATTGGAATGTTAGAAGAAAGAGCGAGTCCATTTGCTTGAAAACTTAGAAAATAGGCATGGTTTTAGCCTTATTGCCCAAATTAGGATGATTTTGGATGAGTTAGGGTCGAAAATTGACATATGTGGTTATTTCTCTTAATTTTTATCCTTAGGCACCTAAAAGTATGTGATATTGGAATGTTAGAAGAAAGAACGAGTCCATTTGCTTGAAAACTTAGAAAATAGGCATGGTTTTAGCCATATAGGCCAAATTTGGATGATTTTGGATGAGTAAGGGTCGAAAATTGACTTATGTGCTTATTTCTCTTTATTTCTATCCTTAGGCACCTAAAAGTATGTGATATTGGAATGTTAAAAGAAAGAAACCTTACCTTATATTGTTGGTTGTTTTTTTAACAATATTTTTTATCATCTTCAATATTTTGTAGGAGACCTACCAGAAGAAACTCGAAGAAACAAGGAGTCAGGGGGTTCAGAAGTGTCCCAATGAGTTGTACTGGGAGTCGGTTGGTGGGCGCAATAAGAAGGGGGCGTGTGAAGGGACTTGGCCAAAGTGCAGAGCTCCACTATGGCAAACAGATGGGTCGAGGTTCCCGTTCTTCACAGCAATACACGCCGTCTGTCATTTCTCAAATGCAAGACCAGATGGAACACAGGGTGCAAGCTCTCCAAACTCAAATGGAAGCCCGAATGGCTGAAATGGAGAGGAGACACAAGGAAAGTATGGATGAGATGATGAGTCGTCTCACCAACAACGACTCATGTTCCACCATTCATCCTCAGCATCGAGACCCTAGGGATGACCCGGGTAGTGGTGGAGCAGGCCAGGGTTTCCAGGCGATTGCGTAGCTTAGCTTTAGTCTAGCATAGAATCACTCTAACCTAGCTTTTGTTTGGTATAGATACCAAAATGTGGACTATCTTTTGTACTAGGACATAATTATTATATATATATGTACATATATATAATTACGTAGGTCGGTAATTAATTTTTTTAAAACAACAATTTCATGACTCAATATTTAGTTTTTTTTTTGTCGATTTATCATTAAAAAAATTCAGGTTTGAAAATGCAGAAAATTACAGAAAAAATTCAGGTTTGAAAATGCTATTTCTCTAATTTACGACGGAAAATCCGTCGCAAACTATATATTTACGATGGAATTTTCTGTCGTAATTTATAATTTGCGACGGAAAATTCTGTCGGCAATATATGGTTTGCGACGGAATTGTCCGTCGTAAATTATATTTTGCGACAGAAAATTCCGTCGCAAAATATACATTTCCGACAGAATTTTCCGTCGCAAATTATAAATTACGACAGAAAATTCCGTCGTAAATATATAGTTTGCGATTGATTTTCCGTCGTAAATTATATTTTGCGAGGCTTTTTTCCGTCGTAAATTTTAAATTACGACAGAAAATTCCGTCGTAAATTATAAATTACGACAGAAAATTCCGTCGTAAATTAAAAGTTGCGACGGAAATGTTTCCGTCGAAAGCTTGCGACGGATCTTCAATAAAGGCCAATTTCAAGTCCGACGATATTATTTCCGTTGTAAAGTAGGTTTACGACGGAAATTCCGTCGCAATATGGCCATTTTCCTACAAAGGGTTTTTCGACGACCATTTACGACAGAATTCCGTCGTAACCCTACTTTACGACGGAATTGACATATGTTACGACGAACTTTTTCCGTCGCAATTTTGCTGTTTTCTTGTAGTGCAAGTTTCATTCCTCATCCCAAACCCATACCATTGTTTGAACCAAACGCCCCCTTAGAGGTTACATCATTTTTTATTATTTAATTTTGCAATATTTCTTAAACTAAGGGCTTGTTCATATTTACTGAACTGAACTGAATTGATTGGAGCTAAACTGAACTGGATTGAACTGAAATGATTGGAGTTGAATTGAAGTGAACTGATTCGAAAAATTAAAATACATAAAAATATATGAATACGTTTATGAAAATTAATGATAATATCTATATTGGATTATGGAAAATATAAAAGTGTTAAAAAAATAAAAATAACTCTGTAGTTTAAATTATTGTATTTTAAATTATTAAGTTTTATAATATTATATTTTAAATATATGTACTTCCTACGTTCTATTTTTATTGCATTATGAGGGATTTCACGCTTGCCAATGCATTACTTTAGCTGTTAATATCTTCTATTATACTTTTGTAAAAAATACAAAATTTGATATTTGAAAAGAAGATTTCGATACGAATCTAACTAGATCCCTCATGATTATATTTTTCCTAATAGATAAATCACAAATGATGGTCAAAGAACATTAAGTGAATAGTGTAAAAGTCCTAATGGTGCAATAAAATAAAAACGGAGGAAGTATAAATAAAAAGCATTCTTCGATATTTTACTGTAGTCAATCGCATATGTTGCAGTTTCTAAGAAAAAAAATCATTCCCCTTGTTATGAAATATATATTTGTGGATGCCCATTATACCCTTATATCATTCCACAACTTTCTAGATTTTAGGGTTTATTATTCTCCAAGCAAACCATATCAATTGTATTATATATATATATATATATATATATATATATATATATATATATATATATATATATATATATATATATGGAATATAAGTAGATTATTTCTCTCTCCATCTCTCATATTTTCACTTTATTTTATAACACCCCTAAATTTTTATTTTGCTAGCTAGAGTGTATCCGTGTTAGCGCACGGTATACATGTAACATGTATATTTAGAAAGAAAAAATAATAGGAAAGATGGAAGTTATTCAAAAAAAAATGATGGAAGTTACTTAATTAATGGGAGATTATTAAAAAACAAAAAAGGTGGATTGCTAAATACCGCCAACAAAATTTATCAAACCGCCAACATTTCAAGCAATGGAACAACATTACCCTTACTAAAATATTCCCCATTTTCAGTCTATAACTTTATTTCATGATTTCCATCCACCACTTCTAAAACAACCCATCAACCACCACCGGTACCACCCATGCCACCATGTCGACCACTACAACCCAAAACCACCGCATCAACCACCAGCATCTACACCAGACTGCCAATAATAATTACAGTTAATCATAATAATTATCTAATAATAATAACAATTAATTATAATTATTATGTAATAATAATAACAATTAATTAGAATAAGTTTTTTTTTTTTTTTTTTTTTTTTTTTTTTTTTTTTAAAGCTGATGGACCATAATTGGCGCTCGAAACCGATTGACCACCACCAGTAACCGGAGGTCAAAAACCGATTGACCAATGCGGTCAATCGGTTTTGACTGTCGGTTACCGGTGGCGGTCAACCGGTTTTCAGCGCCAATTACCAGCCACCGAGATTTAAAAAAAAAAACTTAAATTCAAAACAACAAGCTAATCAGTAAACTTACCTCCTTCCCCGGATTTCCAGCCATGCTGTCGTCGTCAACGACCCGACACTAACACCGACGTGTGCTCACGCCGCCACCTCCTGAACACCGCCGCCGCATGGTACGCCGGTTGCCTCTGTTGCGGTGGTGGTGGTGGTTGTGTTTGGGGATCTTGGGGGGTGGTTGATGAGAGAGAAAAAAGAAAGAGGAGAAAGATGGGATTGGGTTTAGTATTCTAGTAAGGGCATTAATGATATTTCGCTTAAAATGTTGGTGATTTCGATAATTTTTGTTGGCGGTATTTAACACTCAATGAAAAAAAACCAAAACTTATGAGAGTTGAGGGTTGAGGTTTTGGAGAAACCTCATTAAATGACTGTGTAATTATAATATACTCTCTCCGTCCCTTTTTTACATTCTTGCTTTCCTTTTAGGGTGTTTCAAAATTACATTTCTCCTTTCCTTTTTAGTAAGTATTGTTTTTTCCAAATATTCCAAATTATCATTTTTTTTTGCAAAGGATTGATGACATGGCATCATTAAATATTAATATATTTTTGTTTTACTCAAAGACATCATTCAATGTTTTATACTTCCCATTGTGGGCCAATTGACCAATTTGGTAAATAAAAAAGACCCTCAGTGACAATTTGGTAAAAAAACTTACTCCGGCGACAATTTGGTAAAAAAAAATAACCTTAAGCGACAATTTGGTAAATAAAATAATCTCAGGCGACAATTAACCCAAAAAATACAAAAATTTCCGATAAATTACTCGCGAATGCTTAATATAGTTCGTTTTTCTTGTTATTTTACCAACCCTTTTTTACGGAAATAACAATTTGAAGAAAAAAAAGGTTAAGTATCAATTCTCACTTAAGTTTCATACCCCTTATTAACGAATTTTTTTTAAAAAGGGGTTGGAAATAAAAAGGGATGACATGTATATTCAAAATTTTAAATGGAAAAAATTAATTTAAGAACACAAAAAAAATTAAAATAGGAATTTGAAAGAGTTTGTTGGGAAAAAATAGATTTTTTGGTCTAAATGTTGTCGGAATTTATTATTTTTACCAAATTATTGCATATTGTTAGCTTTTTTTTACCAAATTGTCGCTAGAGGTCTTTTTTATTTACTATTCTAGTCAATTGGCCTCCCATTGTGTTTTGTTTTATTATTATTTATTTTATTTTTAATTTCTTAATACCCGTATAATATTACAAACATAAATGTGAAAAAAAGGGACAAAGGTAGTGATTAAAAAATCATTCCCCATATAAAAAAAAATCGTTCCCCTAAATTTCTCAAAAACATTTTACGCTTGAGTAACCTAAAATTTTCCTGGTGGTCTCCCTCCTCCCTCCTCTCAACTATCAAGCAAGGTTTCTTTCAAATTTCTCGAGCGAATATCTGAATTGTTTTGCTAAACAAGGTTTGATCTAATCCTTTAATTTCCTTGCCGAATTATGTTTTTTTGGTCTGAATTTGTTGCGATTTGAAACGTTTCCCCAATTTTGTTGTGTGGGTGAATTTTAATTGTTGAATTAGCTTTAAATTCGATGTTTTTTCCTTCTTTAATTGTCGAATTTTGCTAAACCCATACCCAATTTCGTTTTTTTGTTCTTGAATATTAATGGAAGCCATGAAAAAATTATGAATGTTTTACCAATGTCAGATAGTAGCCTCGAAATAAGTATAGATCCATTACTATTTGCATTTGGTGATTGTATTGCCATCGTAATTCTGCCTAAAAATTCAATATGCTACTCAAGCTTATTATAATATGCTATTATCATATTTTAACATGGCTCAAAGAATTTCTGATGAAGCAGAGCATCCAACCATGTCGGAATTGAACGGAGATCCACCTGATTAAATTCAGCAAATAATAAGCATTTAATCCAATATTTATAAAACCATTAACCAACAAAGTAAAATTTAATAATTAAAGAAAGACCCACCATAATTTAGAATTAGAAAAACAGAGTATTACTATAGGAGAGAGAAAGAGAAATGGAAATCAGAAAATGGTGTGTGTATGTTTGAATGTGAAAGATAGTAATAAGAGTGAGTGACTGATAGTACCCACAATGCATTGATCTGTATAATAAGGTAATAATGTACTCCCTCCGTCCCTAAATTACATTCTTATTTTTAGTATTTATTTCTCACACAATAGAGAGGCGTAGGAATGTAATTTAGGGACGGAGGGAGTAGTATAGTAATATTAATTTTATGTGTTTATCTATTTTTAATTGTAGTATAGTAATATTAATTGTAAGTACTTAAACTTACATTTATGACATCTGTTTTAATAAAACATTAGTATCCCCTTAATTTTATTGCAAGTTAGTTATTTTAGAAGCGTTGGAGTTGTCAGGCAGTTTGTGCTTTAACATCTATTCTTTCACTTTGGATGTTGTTTAGCCATATCTAGTTTGCAATGAGTACCCAACGGGCATCTTTCACTTCAGATGTCGTGACCATACTTTTGGGAATTCTGCCTGACCATGTCTTCTCCCTAGCTGGTGGGAAAACTGATTGGGATGTTGTTGCTAGAACTTTAAACACCCGAACTGGAAAGAACTTTACATCACTTTCTATTATGAATTGGTTCACGAATATGAAAAACAAACACAAAGCTTGGAATGAATTAAAGAACTGGACTGGTATTGGATGGAGCAATGGTTGCCCTGATGTTGATGTTGAATCTGAAAAATGGCAAGCCTTTGTTAAGGTATTTGGTTAACTATTCTTATTGTTTAATTTGTTTACTATAGACATATTTTTTCCTTCGACTAATATATTTCTTTAAAACGTTATCGTTTTTCAGCGATATAGATCCATAGCAAAAGCATTTCTTAAGACTCCATTAGAGAATGAGGAAGATTGGGATAAGATTTTGATTAGTGGTTATGCAAAGGAAGTATTGAGTGTTGAAGGCAGTGTTGAAGCTGAATCATCTTGGGACCCTGATAATGTTCATGAAATTGAAACCCGCATCACTTGGGATATTGATGCATGTCTTGATCAATTAAAGCGATCCTCTAAACCCAAAAACCCTTTTGATGAAGTTCTCAATATCTTGGAGTCCATGGGGATTATTGCAAAGTATGGGGAAGCCTTTGTTGTGGATATTCTCGATAGCTTTCGTAGTATTCCCGGTGCCATCGATCTTTTTACCTCTTTGTGTTCTGATGTTGGGAGACTTCATTTCTTGAGGAAGCATTGTAAACTTGAAGATGAAGTGTATAAGCCAAACACTTTGTGTACTTCATTACTTGTGAAAGGATTGTATGACAACTAGTATTTTAAGTTGAAATTGTGTGACTTTATGGTTAGTTTTATGTTTATGATTAGATTTTCATTATGGATTTCAGTTACAACTTATGTTGGTGTAATATGATTGGATGATTTCGTCTAAATTATTTCTATTATGTGTGTTTCACAGTAGAAAATAGTTAATGGGAAGCCCTAAATGGCAAGCGGTTATGCAATTCAACTTCCAAAATATTAAATGGCAAGCGGTTTGGGGTGAACTGCTTGCATAATTGTAAGTGGCAAGCCTTTTGATGTGAACCGCTTGCAAAAGCCCCAAATGGCAAGCGGTTCGTACCGTGAACCGCTTGCCTTAAAAAAAAAAAACTACTCATTTTATAAGTCATTCTCAAGCCTCTTTTTTTCCATTTTCACTTCACCTGCTCTCTCTCCTCTCTTTCTCAGTCCTCACTCTCTTCTCTCGATCTCTTTCGTTCTCACTCCTCCCTCCATTTCTCACTCCCTTCATTTTAATCTCCTCTCTCGATCTCTATCTCATTCCCTCCATTTCTCAGTTTCTCACTACCCTCGACCAAAACCCGCAAAAATTTCGAACAAATACGAACCAAAAACCGTATAATTTCGAGTAAAATTTTGAATGAAATTTCGAGCAACTTTAGAGTAAATTTCAAGCAAATTCGTGCAAACCGTGTGAGTTTTCAAGTTTTTATGTCAATCCGACCATGAAAACTCTAGATTGGTCGGATTTGACCTTTAAAACCATAATTTCAAGCCAAAATCAGTGTTTTCATGGCCGCGGATCTGGTTTGGTTGGAGATGTGGGTTTTGTTTGGGTGGGTTGTGGGTTACGGATCGGAGGGTGAGGTGTGGGGTGGTGGGCGGGGTAAAGTTTGGGTGGAGATGTGGGTTTTGTATGGGTGGGTTACTGGTTACAAAGGATGGAGGTGTGGGGTAGTGGGTGGGTTACGGCTTGGGTGGAGATGTGGGTTTTGTTTGGATGGGTTGTGGGTTACGGAGGGTGGAGGGGTGAGGTGTGGGGAGATGCGGAGATCTGGTTTTGGTGGGTTGTGGGTTTTGTTTGGGTGGGTTGTGGGTTACGGAGGGTGGAGGTGTGGTGTGGTGGCTGGATACGGGTGGGTGGGTCAAGGTTAGGGGTAGGTTAGGGATTTGGCTGGGTACGGGCATGTTGGTGGTGGCAGTTGGTGTGGGGTGGAGGCTGGTGGTGTGGGGTGGTGGTGGTTAAAAGTTTTTGTGTATTATCAATTTTTTTGTTAATTTTTTTTTTCTTAAAAATCAGAAATTGTAATATTACAACAATTAATTAATAAAAATATTAATGTTTTTACATATGTTTTGATGTGTATCAATTTAAGTGAAAAAAACCAAAAAAAAAATATTTTTATTTTTAATACCCATAATGAGCAGTGGTTTGGCGCCAAAACCGCTGTCCTTTCACTACAAATGGCAAGCAGTTCTGAATCGCTTTCCATTTTAAAGACCAATGGCAAGCCCCCTAAGGGCATGCGGTTTAGAACCGCTTTCCATTAGGGGGTTTGAACCGCTTGCCATTAACTATTTTCTACTAGTGTTTGTATTAACTTTTGTTACCATTATGAGTCCAAGTTATTTCTTTTGAATTCCTCGTTTTTTTTAAGCTTGTCTAAAGCAATTTGCAATAAATGTTTTGGTAGTTATGTAGAATGGATGATGATTTGGTGGAAGAAAGTTTGACATGTATAGCATTGCATCAACTAAGGAGATTGACGTCCCAAGTTGAACGGATACCTTTGCATGTTAGTGAGGAAACGGGAAGTCAATGGATACAAAGGATGCTGACAGGCCATCATAATTTGTGCAAAGAACAACTTCGGCTAAGCATGTGTGAATATGCTTGGCACTCATAGGAAGTGGGATTTGACATAATACGATTAGGGACAAATAAAGTAGGGAGTCGCCAACAAGTTTTTAAGGAACTTGTAAACCGTTCACGGATCATAAAAGGCAACCACGATAAGGGACAACGAAGGCAACAACGATTGACCCGTAAAGGTTACACCCCATTCATAATCCATGAGAATACTAACTCCATATGGTTCGGAACCACGAAAGGAGGATCGGGGATGATGGTACGAAGTGAGTCATGGAGTCACATCCGCCCGTATTGTCCTCTACTCGATTCTCATAGTGAAAAGTGATTCCTGCGATCTCAAAGGCATACAAACAAAGATATTCTATTATGCTAAATTGTTTAAATATTAATGCAACATATAATTCTAAAATATTTGTGATCACTTGAATTAATAACAAGATTAAAAAGGAACCTAAACCGGTTGTCCAAATTATCTTATTAGGCGTGATTTTCAATTACATATTATCTTTAAACATGCAATATGTGATCAATAAATATAATAAAACAAACATTAATATTGGAAACAATTTAATCACAATTCCAATAACATAAAATCGTTAAAAAAATAATAGAAATAAAAGGAACATGATTCTTACTTTGATTCTATTTGTTTGCAACTACAAAATAATAAACGAGTTAGTAACTTCAAGGAAATAACAAAACAATAATTAAACTAAATTAAATAAAGTAGAGTTGATTTGGGGCCAAACCCTCAAACAGTTCTACCTTTCACGCCTTGGCTTAAGGACAGAACCACGAGTAAAGTATGGACTCCTTTGAGCACTTGAAGAAGGAATTTTGAAGTGAAAAAGGGTAGGCTAGTGTTTAGGCTAAAGCATAGAAGAAAGAAAAATAACCAGAGAATTAATTGATGCCCCGTACATAAGAAATGAGGGGGTATTTATAGGGAAAATGTGCTGAGGGAGCACACAGAACCCTAAAATGATAAAAACCCTAAAAAAGTATCCCGTGACACGACAAACTGTACCGTGACACGAGAAGTCCCACCGTCAGACGACAAACTTTCCCGTGACATGGTACATTTTTAGTGTGACGCGGGAAATTTTCAGAAAGCGGGAAAGAAAACGCGTTAAGGGTTTACGCGGAAAAGACACGGAATGTCCCGTGTCACAGCAGACTTCCCGTGTCATGGGAAATCACACCGTCTGAAGGGAAGGATTCCCGTGACACGGTGGTTGTCTACCGTGGCGCGGGAATTTCCAGCCCACTTTTCTGTCTAAATACATTTTTTAACCTTAATTTCATTCCGCATTTTAAGTGTCGATTGATAATTTCGGGCCTTTTCTGACTTATTATTATTTGGGCTAAAATAAGAAAATAATAAAAATAAACAAAAGATTTGGGCCAAAAAAAAAATAAAAGGGTTTGGGCTAAAATTAAATAATAAGTTTGGGCTGAAATAAAAACTATGCTTTTACCAAACATCAAGACTAATCCATGAACTGTTCAAAAATATGAATTTAATCAAATACGATTTTTTAAGCACTCTCGGGATTAAATACTGAACCCGACCAATAGTGGCGGTGAAAGGTTGTTCATCTTCGGGTTTGGTTTTGGGGAGACATCTTTAGGTAAAGAAAAGATGGTCTATAAGGAGAAACAACCGAAGAATTTCAAGAAAGGTGAAAGGGGTGAAAGTTCGACTAGGGGTGTGACGGTTCGGGCTACGAAAGACACATTAATGGTGAAGGCCGACCTAATTGACCAAGAGAAGGATGTTCCTAAAGTGAAGAGAGATTAGATCAATAGTGCTTTGCTTTTTATGAGTTATAATTTTTATTTAAAATAAGGCATATGATGCCAATAATTGTAGTCACATTTATTTCAATAGTAATAGCATATTTATTTCAGCCTTAAAAATAAATAAAAAATCACAATGACTTTTATTTATTATTTATTTATCCGAGTCAAGGATTCGGACGCAATGGAAGAACGAAAAAAAAAACTCGAACATACAATGAATTCGCAACGAATGCGTCACTAAAAAAAAAATCGGAAAACCTGAAATTCCACCGTGTCTCGGTGAAAAATCCCGTGACACGTTATAAATTCCCGTGTCACGGCAATTCCCTCTTTTTTTTTTTTTTTTTTTGTGACGCAATGCTGAATTGACGCGCATATTTGATCGATAGAGGGAGGATTTTTATTTTTCAAAGTGGTCGGGCGCCCTTGAGGGGTTGCCTACGTATCCTAAAAAGGAATCAGGCCAAACGTAGCTCTATTGGGTCATGAACCCATGCGACTAGGCATAGAATTTCTTGAGTTGATCCAAGTTGGTTAAATTGTGGAAACCGTTACCGTCCATGTCTACCAATTGTGCCGCTCCGCCAGACAAGATGGCTTTAACAATGTACGGGCCTGACCAATTCGGTCTGAATTTTCCTCTTGGATCTAACACATTTTTACGAAGTGCCTTAAGCACTAGGTCACCCTCTTTGATGTTCCTGGCCTGGTCTTGACTTTTTTATTAAAATGTCGCGCCATACACTGTTGGTAGGTTTGGACATGATGCAAAGCTGCCAAGCGTTTTTCATCAAGTAAGACCAGTTCATCGTATCTTGCTCTAATCTAGTCGACTTCATCTAGTTGGCTTTCCAATGCGATTCAAAGAGAAGGGATTTCGAGTTCGATTGGTTGTACAACTTCAACTCCATAGACCAAAGAGAAAGGGGTAGCCCCCGTTGATGTGCGAACAGAGGTTCGATAACCCCAAAGGGCGAAATGTAACTTACTTGGCCAATCCTTGTAATTTTCTGTCATCTTTTCGATGATAGTTTTCACATTTTTGTTGGCCGATTCGACTGCACCATTTGTTTGTGGTCTGTAAGGTGACGATCTGTGATGCTTGATATTATATTTCTGTAATAATTCCGCGCATTCGGCTTGGAAATGTGTTCCATTATCACTGATCATCTCATGTGGTACCCCATAGCGGCATATGATATTTTTCTCAATGAATTGAGCTACATGTTTTGCCGTCAGCTTAGCATATGAGGCAGCTTCGACCCATTTGGTGAAATAGTCGATTGCTACGAGAATGAATTCATGCCCCCCTTGTCCTGGTGGTGTTATTTTTCCAATGATGTCGATGCCCCAAGTGGAGAAAGGCCATGGAGAAGTATATGTGTAGAGAAGCGAAGGTGGAACATGCTGTAAATTTGCGTAGACTTGACACTTCATACATTTCTTAACGTATTCGTGACAATCTCTCTCCATAGTAGTCCAATTGTAACCTTGTCGTTGAATTTTTTGGACTAACATCTTTGCATTCATGTGTGTTTCACATAT